TTTTATAAAATAAGAGGTGCAAGATGCAGCCAACGTATGATGTTACATCCAGGTGGACCTCACGACAATATGAGATCAACCGGAAAGCAAAGAACGTCGTAGTTTTTCATCCAGAGGGGTTTACAAATTTTCAGTTGAAAAGTTTCGATGTTGTACTAGTGAATTGGTTTTTTATTATAGTAAATACCCAATTATGTTCTACAGTCTTTGCGCAGGATTTTAACGTTTTGCCCGATTTTTTATCGCATGCTGAAATGTAAGTATTTAATTCGGTTCTACACTATACTTATTATGTATAATATATAACATAAATGTCTTTTAGTTTTTTACTATATTATTAGATAGTGTTTGGTAAATCATAATACAAGCAAAATAATTTAACACTTTATCGAACAGCCGCTTTCATGTATTAAGAGTATATACTTGTCACTGCTGGCATTTTCAGAAACTAAGTAGAAACATGTTTGCGATCGTTTAATTTAAATTGTTGTTTATTTCTATACAAATTTTGAATAATGAACTAATGTATATACTATTACAGTACTTCATAATATACATATTTTACAATGGAACACGACAATAGCTTCAACTTCCATATAGTGTTAATTAATAAATAAATTAAACAAGATATAATTAATATTAGATTATTTTATACTGATAAAATTAATTTTCTTATAGAAGCTGGTTTCTATTAAAACATCTACATGCACCTATTTACATTTATAATATTGATAGGTAAGTCCATAAATGTAAAAGTAAAGAAAAAGAAAAATTAAAAATGGAGGTGTCTACAAAGGCTTGCATATTTTGTGATGAATTCTTCACTCATTCTCAATTCCAGGAAGAATAGATTCAATGTATTATGTGCTATGGCTGGACTCCTGAGATTTTTACAAATGTCGAGGAAGGCGATAAAATCATTTGCGCTTCATTTGCGATTTTTGTGTATTAAATAAATTATAATAAATTTATGTATAAGTTAAAGGCTAAAATAAATTTATGAAACAACTTTTACGTAATTAATCAAGTTAATGTAAATTAAAATAAGTTAGCATAAATAAAAATAAGTTAAGATTTGTTAAAATCATTCCAAATAACTTTCTTTACCAGTTTTGAAACAATACAAATAAACATTTCATAATTATATTACATTTTGCGCGTTTTTTAATAGGTATCTGGTTTTACCCTCACCTATGGGATAAAACCAGGTAGGAATACCTACTTGGATACCTTCGATAAATCTTGTTTCCCTGTGGCCAATAATTTTTTCAAAGAAGGACTCTCATTTTCTGATTCTGTGAGGTTCAATTAAGTTTTCTAGCGGTGTCAAGTTTTTTTTTGCTATCTAATTTTTTACTAGATAGCAGGAAACATACATTACATACCCTGTTTTACCCTACTTTCCCCTAAATACAGCCAGACCGTGTGATACTGCTTCGGTCAATGAAGGTTGATGTCAATATCGATCACAGCATTGTATGTCAGTAAAACAAATCATTTTGTCCGTTGTTACGAAATTTCGTATTAAACTTAATTATAATTCCAGTGTGTGGGAACGAATGAAGTGCATCTTCCAATGGACCGCATAATTTCCTAGTGAACTTTTTAGGAATACATTTTTCCGATGTATTGGAGGATGTAAAAAGCTTATTATTGTTCTGGTTATGGATATTTTATCTATAGATCTTAGAAAACAGTTCTTCTATCTATTCAAAGTGTTTTCCGAATAAAAGTATAACAAAAGAGTATTGATTTTTATCGTAGTTCTTATTTTATTATGCTTTAAATATTATGTTTTATATTATTTACGTCGTTCTGATAACCAGTTGTGAACAAGTTTCGAGCAAATTGCCAACAATAAATGACAAAAATGTCTAAAAAAACTATAGCCATCTGTTTCCGCATTTCACTTAGGTTTTGCGGGCAACGCCAGCTGACAAAATGGTCAAGCAAATTGGCAGAAAGTCTTGCAATATAACCTATGTCAAATTGAAAGCAAAACCGGAACAAGGTTTGCGTAATCCAATTTGCTGCACATGTTGCTGTCAATATGCGTGCAAGTTGTTTATAGCAAATCTTGCATCAAACTTGTAATCATAACTTTATAACAGGCATTGGACAAATTTGGCTGACTAGATCTATATATTTCTGTAACATTTTATTAATCAAATAATATTTAATTATTTTTATTTTATATTTAATCGACACTTACAATGTAACACAGAGTTCGTTTGGCTTATGTATTAATGAAATAATATTTAATTATTTTTATTGTATATTTAATCGACATTTACCATGCAACACAGAGTTCGTTTGACTAAGTCATAAAAATATGCAGTTATGCAAAAACTGATGTGCGTCTATCGATAATATCTAATATCACACGCATGTGACAGCTGGGCACCGATTTGAATATTTGAGGTTAGGTTAGACCTGCGTGAAGCAGCCTATCACCTATGTGCCACGTTAGTCACTGGCATACACTTAAATTTTACACGCGTGTCATTCATACTGAATATCTACTTTCAAACGACTTCGGTAATAAAAACATTACACGTGAAATTCCATATATAGAACATCAAAATGATAATTTGACAAGTTTTCGTTAAAGAAACGAGTGCACGATCCGAACACGGCTTCTTATTAGGCACAAATGATTCACCGGTTGTGTCATCACAGCACAATTTCATCAAAGGGGCGTGACAGATGTATATTTATAAAACTGTCCTGTTTTTTAAACGCACACGCCGCAATATCTCTGTTTATTTAGTTAATTCGTCTGGTAAATAACAAATACATACATATTACAAAATTGATTTTCATACAATATTAGATTTCAACCAATTTTGGCAGTTCTTCAAATATTTCTAGTAGGTGAAAGTTCGTTAAAAAATTGCTTGTGAATTTCCATATGTGGCATAAGTACTTAGAGAAGATATCAAGATTTAAACAATATCTCGTACGTAATCAATTTTTGTATCAGCACAATACACATAAAAACACGTCATCGTGTATTTGCTGCATATCAGCGCAAGCTTTGTTGATATACTTATCAGTGGTAATTTATTTTCGTAGTAAGAAATTGTATCGTGATTGAAATTGATGAAAAATATAGTAATTGTAAAATATTTTGCAAAAGGAACAACACCCCGAAAAACCGTGCATACTTTGACGTTTCCGTCACCACGTGGTTCTCGTCACAAGTCTGGCCTGCCTCAGTAGACTATACGACACACGTATCGATTTTGAAGCAGACACTGCACTCACATACACCAAAGCATGTCGTGTCCACTGGACACCAATACAGAGCAGTAGAATCGTAGCGTAGGGCTTATGTGACGTGGACTAGTCCAGTGCACCCTTATCCGCGCCCTTGAGTCTATTTTTAGCTTCTGTTTCATGAAAAAGGCGGCCGAGATGGCACACACCACACATTAAGTGGGAGGACAAGCGACGATTTCATTTCGGTGTTTCTTCAATTTTTGGAAATTATATTACTATATTAGCAGATGTCATCTGTTCTACTGCATACTGAAACCTGATGGATGAATATGCATAAGTAACCAGACCTGACCCACTGACTTTTTATGCCTACTCTTGTAAACCATAGTTCCTTAAAACGAATTTTAAATATTATGTACGGTTATACGTATTATAATGATTAGAAAACTTTGGTTTGTTAAAAACTCGTTTCACTCGATGTAAAAGATATTTAACATATTCCTTTCGCAAATGGAATTGTATGAAAAAATGTATAAAAGTAAATATAAAGTTAAAAGATAAAATTTATTAATCTGGCATTTACTTTGAGTCCACTCTCTTCAAACATGCCATCCTACCTAACGGAGTATGTATACCTGACAGATGGGCAGACGAAATTCTTGGAATCATTTCAGGAATACTCATGGCAATCAATGTACAATATAGTTAATAGTATAATAAAATTTTATTTTCAATAATTTTAAAAATTATGAAGAATTACGAAATTACGATGGTCAGCTGAACAATTAAAATTTCTTTTGATTGGTAAGCAATAAACTGGAGCATGAGCAAGCTCGAGTATATTAGAAGAGCACCACACCCGTATCAGTGTCTTTCGACCCCCTGATGAAGCTACATAGCTGCAATGCATGCGAAACGTTGGGAAAACAATTCCACAAGGACACCGCTTACACCCGAAAGCCTCAACAGTAAGAACTGTAGGAAATTACGACTGATTAACTATTTAGAGAGAGTGATTACATTTTATGTGTAATAAAAAATCAATGAAAAGATCCGTTGTATACATCTATAATATCTGAAATTAAAGAGTTCTGTTGAAAATCCATAAGTGAACATTCAAAGCATCCCAATGACAAGTGGCACGGGATTCATTAAGTAAAAGAAAATGTTGATCATTCCACCAGTATGTATGCAACAAAACTTTTTCTGACTCATACCTACTGCCGGTACTGGTTCGCACGCGCGCACACACAAAACGGTCGTAATCTTCGCATACATTTGACGCACACTACTACAAACAGCTCTGACGGTTAGTCAGGAAAGCCCTTACGCTAGTGTACGCTTCCAGAAGGCATTATGCTCCCCGTATCGTACAGTTTGAAGCGGCATTTGGAGAATCTAGCCGGCAGCCGGCCAACGGACCAATCACCGAGCCGCTTTCGTTTTATGCCCATATATGGCAAGAGCTGTGAATCCGAATGGTGGGGGCAGCCGGCTGGACGAATCCATTCTGAAACAGGGATGTCCAGCGAAACTGTAATATGAAATATATGATGATTAAAATAAACAAACGATTGTGAAATTTTTCATTTCTTAAATGTTTATCATTCGGCGATTTGTATATTATGTACAAGTTCGAAAAACACGATGAAAAAACAGGAAATAGATGAGATCGTTTCGAGGCTTAACAACGTGTATACCGACCACACCTTCGGGCGAGTCCACATAACACGATACCGGCCACGATCTCCCTCACAGTGCTTGCAACTCGCGGCTCTCGAGTCTCGCTTCGTCGTGCCAATAGTATTCTTGCGGTGCCCGTTTGCCGATCAACGATCAAATACTCCTTCGGTTGCTTTCCACTTCAAAGGGTGAGTACTTGTACATTATAATGTATTTTCATCAAGTTCAATGTTAATTCAACGTTTTTCGCGGTGATCTGTCATTATTTTAACGGTGGGAAAAGATCGAGGACAAATGCCGGTTAGCGAACAGCCATGATGGCAGGGCGTTGCTCTCTGTGCTTTCAAATCTTGTCGACGTAGCATTCATTTGTTCGAGGAAATTCATGTTAGAAAACATTATTTCGGAAAGGAAGTATGGACTGAAACGATCCGACAGGTTGTCGTTGTCAAGTGGTTCCTGACGTATACGCGCTACGAGCCAGGTGGTCGCGACGGAGTCGTTTATTAATAGCAGTACGCTGTAGTGCGTTACAGCACTAACCTACGATTATGCTTGTTCGTACATGAAATACCAGCATAAATCTGTCTCACCGATTAAGAAATTGAGCATTAGCCGTTAAAGAAATTGCTATTTTATATTTATTCCTTACGTAACGTTTAAGAATCCATTTCTTTCACTTCACGCTACTACAGAATGGGGTTTCATTGTTTATTCTATTAGAATTAAATATAAAAAATTCGACACAAACTATACTATTTGCGTATATTATAAATTAGAGAATAGTTAAAAAATCTGTTAGGTTTTTCAAGAATACGATTAAATTACTCGAAAAAAAACGAACACGTAAAGTATTAAAATCTATACTTAATTTCTTTTTTTGCAACAAATACACAGTTGTTCGTCGTAAAAATCATGAAAGTTCCGTGTCCGTAATATCGAAGTAAATTTCTTAACTGCTTTGTTAGTACAAAAAATCAACGCCCAACGATGCTCGAATAGGATCGCCATGATCGTGCCAAGTGAACAGATATCTGTGCAGATCTAACTTGTGTGAAATTGGGGGGAAGAGGGGAAAGAACATTGGCAAGATCAGAAATGTGCGGTTTGGTCAATTTGGTGGATGAATTCATGAAGGGTGGTGGAGACACACTTCGAACGGACGGCGGAGTTCGTGGGGGAAGAGCAGCGAGGGGAGGGGTAAACCCCTCCGTGGCAGAGCACTTCCATATATGGTAAAGAAAGCCAGGATTGGCTGAGGGTGTCCTGTCCTTATTGGCCGATCGCTAGGTAGTGGGGGGCCTGAACAACGACTCTGTTCATATAATACACTGCAAGCCGGCTGTCAGCTACACTCTGTGTTTGGTTCCAGATCGGTCGGTTGTGCGGCAGTGTCATTCAAAGACCCACGCTCCCTAACTTGTACATAATTTTTTTATACTAAACGAAAAACGTAAGTTAGCATCTTAAGTTCAGTGATATTTAACTTGCAATGCGGTAGGATCGATTTGTACCGAAATTAAATGGACAGTGCAACGGATTAGACAGTGCGTGGGCGATAATTGAATCTGCCAAACCGCTTGTACATCCAAGCGTGGATTTCCAATCGAGAAGTGGGTGGTGTTAGGATTGAAATATGCTTGTGCCATATTTAGTGTGTTTTGTGATTTTCTGAATCTCTAAATGATCGTGTTTGTTCGTTGTACATTAGAGAAATTTGCGCAAGTGAGACGCTCTTTCTTGTGACGGAACAAAAATTCTATCCATGGACTAGTACCGGTTTTGGTATTACAAAGAGTTGTGCGATCGAACATTTGCATGAATATATTTTGTTTAAATTGAAAGACGTAACTTGCGTAGAGTCTTGTTCTCACGATTTCTAGAAATACTAAATCCTAAATCTGTAAGATTTTGTACAATTTTACTGTTTGAAAGCGTATGCCGGATATTGACCGATTAACGCCGGGGAAGGGCGGGGCAGGGTGCGGTTCCAGTAACGATGGTTTATAGAACACCTAGAAACTTTCTAAATGGATTCCTTTTCTGCAAATATTTCTGTTTACTTTTAAACGGGAAATTAGATATAATTATTTCACTTATTGCACAATATACCAATTTTTTACATTTAACCTATTATCTGAATAGCATAGTAAGTGCTACGTGTCTTCGGACGCCATCTTGAAAATATTTAAAATGTGGCTATACAGCACATGGTATTCGTCAATCGTGCCACTCCGATTGTACGGCAATTTACCACGAATAACTTAATGATAGCCGAAATTTTATTCATGTGTTCAGTTAAATATTAATGATAAAGTAACTACAGTGGAAAAGTATAAGTTTTCGGAGCACAACTCTCATTGAGAGATTGTATTAATTATACGAGCTTGTTTGAATTCGTACTTGCAAAACGGGAATTATTTGAATTGTAAATTGTAGAGTAATGATAGTATAGCTGCAACAAATTGAAATTTAACTTCACTCAGACTAAAAGAAATATTATTTACATTCAGTGTGTATGAAATTGAAATTGAAGTTTTGATGTAGAAGAAATATTATTTATGTATTTGAATATTGGTAACAAAAATATGATTATACGCAGTTAAATGAGTAAATACTATATTACTTGAACTCAAATATAAATTAATAAAATATATATATATACGTAAGGAAATTGTGTAGCAAAGTATTCAGTGACTTAGTCTTAGAAAATATAATTGAATGCTACGCTCTCAAATTAATGTTATCTAAAGTATCTTTTTTCTTACAGATAAACCAATAAACCAAACATGTGTGACGAAGAAGTTGCTGCACTCGTAGTTGACAATGGATCCGGTATGTGCAAAGCCGGTTTCGCGGGAGATGATGCTCCCCGTGCCGTTTTCCCGTCTATCGTCGGTAGACCACGTCACCAAGGTGTCATGGTTGGTATGGGACAGAAGGACTCCTACGTTGGTGACGAGGCCCAATCGAAGAGAGGTATTCTCACTCTGAAATACCCCATCGAACACGGTATTGTCACCAACTGGGATGACATGGAGAAGATTTGGCATCACACGTTCTACAATGAACTCCGAGTGGCACCTGAGGAACATCCAGTTCTCCTTACTGAAGCTCCTCTCAACCCCAAGGCTAACCGCGAGAAGATGACACAGATTATGTTCGAAACGTTCAACACCCCCGCCATGTACGTCGCTATTCAAGCTGTACTGTCACTGTACGCTTCTGGTCGTACCACCGGTATCGTATTGGACTCTGGTGACGGTGTTTCGCACACTGTACCAATCTACGAAGGATACGCTTTGCCTCACGCCATCCTTCGTTTGGACTTGGCTGGTCGCGATTTGACCGACTACCTCATGAAGATCCTCACGGAAAGAGGATACTCTTTCACCACCACGGCCGAGCGTGAAATTGTCCGTGATATCAAGGAGAAGCTCTGCTACGTCGCCCTAGACTTTGAACAGGAGATGGCTACCGCTGCGTCATCCTCCAGTCTTGAAAAGAGCTACGAACTTCCGGATGGTCAGGTCATTACGATCGGTAACGAGAGATTCCGTTGCCCCGAGGCTCTCTTCCAACCATCCTTCCTGGGTATGGAAGCCTGTGGTATCCATGAGACCACGTACAACTCCATCATGAAGTGTGATGTCGACATCCGTAAAGACCTTTATGCCAACACTGTTCTTTCTGGTGGTACTACCATGTATCCTGGAATCGCGGACAGAATGCAGAAGGAAATCACTGCCCTAGCTCCATCTACTATGAAGATCAAGATCATTGCCCCGCCTGAGAGGAAATACTCCGTCTGGATCGGCGGATCGATTCTTGCATCATTGTCCACCTTCCAACAGATGTGGATTTCCAAACAAGAGTACGACGAGTCTGGACCCTCAATTGTTCACAGGAAGTGCTTCTAAGCGCATCTTTGATATTCCTCTTGCATACTATCATTCCCCGAACCCCGAGAGCGGCCTCTGTCATATTTCGCAGGCGGACGTAACATCAACTTCCGCAATAATATTTGTCCTTTGGTTCCTCCGGGGCGAAGGTAGCTTCTTTCGATTCGGACGTACGTGGGACATAATTAGCACAGAGGCAATCCTAAACATCTTTGCTCCATTCATTTTTCATCATTTAATTAGACACTATTGTATCTTAAACGTACCCCCCGAATTCCTAAACATCTTCCTATCCTATCGAATCCTTTGTATTATATATTCAAATAACATGCCTACGGTAGCTTTTAGCTAACCACCCTCACGAAAAACATCTTTTTTATTGTCATCGCGATGTTTCCACTCTGCGATCGATAAAGTAATTATTTCTTTTTCTCACGTATGCTGTATTTGCCAATTTGTAACCACGAGTTCGAGCTGATAAACATTGCGTAAATTATTTCGTAGTATCATTCGATACAGGATGGCTTAGTTACTTTAAGATTCTGATTGTACGATAGGTTCTATTAACTTTGTATTCTATTAAATGCATTCCGTTACTCTGCTCCGTGGTATTTAAGACACTCGTGTCATTCTTTCAAGAATTCATCATTCCCGGCGGAGGTAGTCCTTCGACTTATTAATCATTTCCGCCTTTTTTTTTACCGTTACCAATCGTTGAGGGAGAAGATGGCTCTTTCCTTTCTTTCTTTTTTTTTAAACAATGGGGGAGACCGCTGACTCAGAAAAGTATCCCAAAAGCTCGCTCAAACAAATGAAAAAAAGACACGGTTTCGACCCCGCAAGCGTAGCCAAAGTATTATAATTTATTCCCATTGTATTGTGCAAGACCATTCACGTACACATCTTAAAGACTACTTTAGACTTATGGGATTATAAAATAAAACTCTTAAAAACATTATTGCTTTGACTCTTGTGTTTTTTTTTAAAAATTACAGTATTCCAATACCCTTTTTACTCGATAGCGCGTCCTTGATTTCCAATTCAGTGTATATCGTAGTTAAAATGCGCTACAAGAATGATCATCACTTCTCGTTTCATTTAGCATGAATTCACGTAGTAGTTTTTATACACAACCGTAGCTTTTGTACTGTTTGGCGTTATCCATTATTGTAACGTAAGATTTGTGGTAAAAATTTATATTACTCTAAGACCTAGGTTTATATTTTCAATCGAATAAAAATTATTTTCAATGAAATGGTATCTATTACTCCTCTTATGAAAATGCCATTATTTTAGAATTCTAGAAATCTGCAAGAAATTTAATGATCGAAAAATTCAATTTACGTTTAATTCAGTTGCGTGTTTTACTATCGGCGGTTTGTTAAAATTCAGTCCTTGAACAATAGACTTCATTTATAATAAATTTTAGAACATATTTCTTATTTTCAATCATGTAAAACAGGCAAGTATTGAAAACATACATTTCAATTAGCCCATAAATTATATAAATCATTAACCAAGGACAAATTGCAAGCATCTTATTTGAATGAAACTGTTAAATTTTCAGAGGAAGGATAAAATATAATATAAATACATACATATTTTACATACATATACTTACACATTCGTAGAAGATATAATAATATTGAATACCTAGCATGGCTGAGGTGTAATTGTCATTCACTGTGATTCGCTAGTGTTTGGTTTGAATTAAGATTAGATGGCAGCACAATCCATCTTGGTTATACATTGACACAGTACACAGTGCATTATGGATAATCGGATCGAAACATCTGATAGGAATTTAAATTTAAATTTCGATCAATCCTCTTTTTTGATAAATATATAATTTTACAATTCTGCATAAAGAATTTAAACATACAATCTATGATAAAATTGCACTTTGCCGTTTAGATCATCGATGGTACAAATTCCATATCGAAAAGAAGGGAAATAATCTGGCATTGTGTAGAAGTTTTGTGTGCCCTCGGTGCAGTTGTTAGCAGTTGCTCTCCAATTATCTCTGGAAAAGTACAAAACGATACAAGCTGGGTCAATGACACATAGGAAAGCAGTAAACGGCATCTCGAGTAGACTGATTCATTTCAATTTGTAACTTGAATCGAGATGTCTGAACAAAACTCGAGCGACCAATATTCAATATGGGTAAGCCAATAATCTCATCTGGAGTTATTCTGTTTTTGACATATGGTATCACATAACCTTCGACCGCAAACAATGTTTTTCTTAACTGTTGATTGAATAATTTATTGGTATTTTACGACTTCTTTCTTTAAAATACATGAAGTTTCATATACCGATAAATTCTTTCAGATTGGCCTCATATATATTTTCAACCTAATCGTTGGCACAGGAGCTTTAACACTACCCGCTGTGTTCAGCAAAGCAGGATGGGCTCTTGGATTAAGTATTATTTTAATATTAGCCTTTATAAGGTATATTGTTAAATTTTATCAACTTTAATACATTCAAACAAAATGTACTTATACATTATACCATGTTTATAGCTTTATTACAATTACATTTGTCATCGAGGTAATGGCATCTGCCAATGCTATAATAACTTGGGGTCATATTCAACATCGAAAACGTGTATGTTTTTCTCAAGATTCATCTTTCAACGAATCTGAATCTGAGGTTTTTAGATTTTTTTTAATGAATTGCACTGTATGCATATTTTCTCTGTCAATAATATGTTGCTTTTTACATAGAGTAAACTGTAGTTGCTTTCTTGAAATACGTCTGAATATAATTTTTCAACTAGAATAAATTATATTTTTCACCATTTTTCAATTTTAGGTACTCCAAAATTTAGGAGAATCTGGTCCTTCAAATTCAGACTCTGAAGATACCCCACTTGTTACACCATTCTCAACTAGTCCTGATGAAACAAATATGACTTATAGATATTATATAATTCGTGATAAAATAGAAATGGGGCAAATGGCGTCGATTTTTTTCAACAAGTTTGGCACAACTCTGTTTTATCTGTGTTTTGCTATTTATCTTTATGGAGATTTGAGCATTTACGGAGCAGCTGTTGCAAAGACCCTGGCTGATGTTACTTGCACTTATCAACCAATGAATTTAACATGCAATGACACAATACCAGATACTGAGCTTTGTTGGGAAACATTTTCTCTGAATCGGCACGATGCGTATAGGATGTTTCTTGTATGTGTAATTATAAAAATACTAGTATATATCTTAAAAATGAACGTATCATTATGCTGTAATGCAAATATTATTTTCAGAGTACGTTTGTTTTGTTATTGGGGCCTTTCGTGTTTTTCAATATTCAGAAGACTAAATATCTTCAATTGTTAACATCAGTAATGCGATGGCTCGCATTTACTATCATGATTGTATATGCTTTAAAAAATCTAATCTTTCGTGGTGCACAAGGAAATCCGCCAGCAGCAAATGTTATTGGTAAGTTTATTTATACAACTAATAAATTGTATATTTACACGTATATGTTTACTACTATTTGAATAAGTAAAACATTTGTATATGTATAAATTTCAGGTATACCTAGTTTATTTGGTGCCTGTATTTATTCTTTTATGTGTCATCATTCTTTACCAGCTTTGGTTGCTCCAATTGCAAACAAATCTACTTTAACTCGGTTTTTGGCATTGGATTACTTCCTGATAGCTTTTTTTTATCTCTTGTTGGCATTAACTGGAGCATTTGCTTTTGACCATTTGGATGATCTTTACACACTAGATTTTAGCCCTCGAGGATCTGGAGACTGTTCCAAAAGTAATAATATTTTTATTATTCTCATAGAATATTTTTTGGCACTGTTTCCGGTGTTTACTTTGAGCACTAGCTTCCCCATTATAGCTATTACTCTTAGAAATAATCTGCAATCTTTGTTCCTCAATGAAGATTTATCCTATTCATGTCTTCGTAAATTCGTCCTCCCAATATTGGCAATACTGCCGCCATATTTAATTGCAATGAGCACCAAAGATTTATCAATATTGGTTGGAATCACGGGCTCGTACGCTGGAGCTGGAATTCAGTATTTGATTCCAACATTGTTGGTGTATTACGCCAGGCGAAAAACAAACAAAGTTATAGGCCTTGGCGTTGTTAATAAATTCGCAAGTCCATTCTCCAGTAATTGTTGGCTCGTTTTTGTCATAGCTTGGGCCATTGCTTGTATGATTTTAGTGTCTGTCAATTTTATGCAAATACATTTGGAATTGACAGGTGTAAATTTATAACAAAGAGATGTAAGGTATGAAATCAAACGTATAAAAGAGAAAAAGGATTGTATAATGGTGCAAACTTAATCATTTTTTTTTAAAGTTTTGAAAATCTCACGCATATCTAAAATATCATTGAATCTAAAATTGGGTTGATTATAATATTACACACACATGTATGGAAATTTAAATAGTGTCTTTAGTAGCCAGTTACCAATGAGTTTCTTCAAATAATTATCTTATGTTTTTTGTTTAAAGTATGAGGTAATTTAGCTGTAGAATATATTAGTATAGATAAATGAATGTAATTGATAGGAGAATACGTAAATTGTATGTTTAGTACTCTTGGCACCATTATCAGAAATCATCCTTTTTTTCATATAAGAAAAGATAATAATACTTTGTGGCACAATGTGTCACAGCAAACTGACAATACACTGGCACAAGTCAGGATTAATCATGTACAAGCCAAATGGATAAGCTTAATTTAAGTTAACTTTTATATGATATATCCTTTATTTTTTGTATATTTTTTTATTCAGTGTATGATGCCATTGTTAATACAGTTTTTACTGTACAAGAAATGTCTTTCAAATAAGTGATATTTGGTGGTCAACTATTAATGTTTTGTCATCTATTAGTCATTATAAAGTTTAAAACTACAGACTTGTAATTAGTGTATCTACTTAATGTCAAAAGATAAGGATGGCTTATTCTGTTTTTTTTCACTTTTAAAAAACAGCCAAAAGAGAATTCAATTGTGTAATTTTGTCGCACATATGTTCTGTTTAAGCAAATATAATTTGAATATCATAGAACATATTTTGATACATGGTATGTGTAAAACTGCCAATAAAGTATTCACAATATGCCTCTCATACCGTGTACCTGTAATAGTATACAGTAAGTAAAATATGTATACATATATATTTTCTAAAAATAAATGAATAAAGATAAGTAATTATGTAAGCTTTTTTTAATTTAATCTTGTATGTATATAAATATTTTTGTTTATTTGTATTTATATGTTTGATCAAAAGATATCGGAACAAATTTTGACAGAAAAAAATTCTTCTGTAACACTCTAATAATACAATGTGGCACAATAAAAGCACTAAATTATTTGTATGAAATTTTACAACTCTACAGAAGATAGTTAATTATACATATAGAGTTCATTTACATGTACATCAAGTTGTAAAGTATCATAGAAATAACTATCTTCGTATGCATTCACTACAACAAAACATCTACACGTATATTAAAAAAAAAAGATGAATTTATTTAACATACAGAGAAGAATATTTCTCTTTTATTTTATATTCTTAATCTATTCTGAGCAAATAGACTAGAATAAATACACTTTGGTTTGTGAGAATAAAAAAAAATGTTGAGCAAGTTATTTACATAAATTTATGAAAATTAATATTATAATTTTACTATTTAACGTCTAGCTGTAAGAAATTAGATACATGTAAAAATGAACGTGATATAATATGTATAATGAATATGTGCAACTAACAATAAATTGAAAACTGTTTTATAAAAAGAACGTTGAAAACACCATGTAAGTGAATATTCCAAAGTGAACACGTGTATTCTTTAATTGACCAAGAAATTTTAACAGACATGTAATAAATATTCTTATAGTACTTATGTATCAAGTTCACATTTGATTAATTTGCTGATGTCAGATTAGATTTTGTTTTCAGATCAAGGCTCATAAAATCTGTACGAAGCTGCAAAATGGCACGTTGTTAATTATATTAAATAAATATGTTTATGCGATAAAAAGCTTTCTTGCTTTCGTGTTTATTTGGAGATATTAAAGCTTGTACTACTCCATTCTTCTTTGGTCATCAGTCTTTAATTGTACTACAGATTTTCGGTCAGAATTCGTTATTATCATACGAATTCTACTTAATTATTTAGTACAGAATACTTTTGTTTCGTAGAAGCCATACATGTATACTTTTTAAAACTTTTTAAAATTACTTTAAATAAAAATGAACTCTGTGAAACGTCGAGTTTTCCGATATGTCTTTCTGATCCTTATTTATAATCAGTTGAACCTGCCAGGTCACTTCATATCAGCATTTGTAAATACAGAAAATATGCAAATAAGAATATGATAATATGAGTGTATACTTTTCATTTTCTTGTAGTATTATACTGATTAAGAATTTCTGCATACAAATAGTACACAAGCCAAATGTTACTTTCATTAACTTCTATTATTACTTACAACATTTTAATCAACTGCGGTGTCTGTAACTTATTTATTTTACATAAGAACAACATTTAAAAGTACGGCCGTATACTGACTGCAGTAACAAGTGCGGACACGGTGACACTTCATGGCCCACACATTCTATAACAGGATCATGAGTGCAATCCCACATTCCTGGACCATATGGACGACAAAGTCCCACTAATGTACAGGGTAAACGAATAAGCTGACGAAAATGATGAAGTAGGCCTCTAGCCTTTCTCAATATGAGATTCCCGTCCATATACATAGCTAAAGAACTAAAATACAATAGCATTTCATCCGTCCGAAGGTCTTGTGCTATTACGTCATCTGCGTAAACGCATATTACAGCAAGACAAAGGAATAGATGAAAGTGATCCGTTAAATAATTTACCCAGCAAGCTTCCCACATCATTAATGCCACTTCGGTTGGAAACTCCCGTTTTAAACACCTATGGGATATGTAACACTTATCAGACATAAATTTGTACATAGTTAATGTTACAGCAACTATAAAATTGATTACTTACAGAAGTATCCATCGATGACAAAACAGAAGTTCTAAGGCATCCGTATGTTTCTGAAGATGTGCATAAAAATCTGGTACCATTATCCTAACTAATTCTCTTAAGTAACACAAGTTTCTATCTATATCGACATCAGTAGGTGTGCATACAGTTACTGATCTTTCCATTAAGCCAGCAAAGCACCAAAAAGCTTCTATTTCAGAATTCAATTCAGCTAACAATGGTGCCAACAAATCAGACATGCCTTGTGTATATCCCAGTCGAGAGTTATAAACTGCATAATTTAGTAAAATGTTTCTATAAAAAGAATATATGTATATCAGTATTATTGATAGAACTAAAAATTGTTATCATTAGTATATTAAACGTGAACGTACTTCATTACTTCAATGTTTGGATTATTTTCTCCTGCATAGTATGGATTTCCTCTGTCAGTACGAACAACATCTTTTTCTACAATGCACACAACATTCCGCAAAAAATGTTCTGCTTGCTTTGGATTCATGGTTGTTCTACGCTTTTGAATTTCTTCATATTCTTGTTTCAGAATGGTATCCATTTGTTCCCTTTCTTCATAAGTACTTTGATATGAATAACAATGAAGAAGAAATGGCCACACAATTTTCCGTAATGCAGGTTCTAGCCCACCAAAGAATATTCCTTTACGAAGCGTAAGGTCATCTTCTACCTGACCTTTCTCATTCAATAGATCTTTCCATGCCAATGAAGTAATCATTGGTACTTGCCCCTCTTCTGGATGTAATTCATCACGACTCACCTCAGGTCGACATACCATGAAGTGCCTGAAACATAAAACAAAAGTGTCAACATGTCAAAAAATATTTAATTTAATATTAAAAGATAACTAATACCTATATGGAAGGCCTTCTTCTGTATCTTCCTTTAATCTTGGATAAAGCAATTGATGCCATTGGTGTAAAATTGCTGCCAATCGATTTAAACCTCCATGATGAAAATGCAGAATTTTATATTGACTCTCTCTACTTGCAACTACTAACTGACCAGAGGTACAGGCTGGGTCAGCAAAAAATAATCTTAAAGACCGCATTTCACTCAGATCTACAGAGAACCTTCTACATCTGTGTGCTCTACGTAAAGTGACTGGAGAAGCAGTAGCACTTTCAGGAAATGTAAGGTTATGCTGTAAAGCCAGAAGTTCAGGTGACCTCATCCATGTTGGCATCTCTTCAGCTGAAAAAATAATTAAATGGAGTAACAAGTACAGCCTATACAGAATAATCAGTATTTGAAGACATACCGACAGATAGGCTGCATTGGGAGGTTAATGACATACTACGACCTTTAAAGCTACCATCATCACAATACGGGTATTTAAGTTCTTCGTCTACACTTTTTCCGTCGCCATCATGTGTTTCGTCTGCCTTTTCATCCTTACAATTTTGACTTTCGTCATGTTTATCACCGAGGGACTCGGAACGCAAACGGTTTAAACTAATACTATGATCACTCTCTTCCTGTATGGTAGCTGGTGAAATGTCACACTGATGATTTCTTTCGCTGGAGTCATCAGCAACTGACGTTTCTTTACTCTCTGATGAAAATCCAGTTTGACTGTCGCACGAATTTTCTTTGTCATCATTCTTCGGTTTGTTATCTTCAGCTTCCGGTTCTGCATTTCGAGGAAATCCACCGGAACAAACGCGCTCACAGTCTCCACAGTTTACAGGTTCCTTTACCTCTAAACAAACGTCAACCTTCTCACTGGTATTTTCATACTCACACTTCAAATCACAGGCTTCTTCAGATATCTGTGAAGGATGAGTGCCTGTCTCATTGTCTCGATGCGCGGTACAATCAAGCTTCTTTGCATTTACATTTTCTAACGTTGCAGGATGCTTGCGAAGCGTACTATTAGGAATCCAACTGAGGTGCAACGTTGGTACATTCGAATTTTTGTTGAATCTGCAGGTTATGGCCATATATCCAGGATGATGTACCACGTCAGAGTTTTGTCTCATCAACGTAGGTGGATGAACACAAACGTTATTCTTGCAAAATAACGCCTCACCATCCTGGTATATTGTACGACGATTGTCCTGGCTGTTGTCGCCTAAAATATAACTGCTTGCCTTTTTGAGGATATTTGGTAAAGGCATCTTAAATAGTTTGCAGCGAATCGGTACATCTAGGACATTTAATTAATTTTGCAAAAGCATCATTAGAGATTTTCCGTTATAAGAGGCCAGAAGTTCATGTAATTTTAAATCGTCATGAATTATAACGTGACCCGAATGACGATTGTTACAGTAATTATGAGGCATTATCTACAGCTATATATATATATACATATATATATATATATAGTTATAATTATCGAATCTGCACGGTTCTGATCTCGATTTGCAGTTGACAGTACGGTATACGCGCGAAAGTTTGAAACGCCAGAACCACTGATCCCTCTCGTCGATTCTTACGAAATAGGTATTTCGTCAATGTTTTTGCAAGACATGGAAACTGCAGAGGTCAAACTTTGTCGCGCAGAAGCGCGTGAATAGATCTGCATCGAAATGTTACAGTGAACTGATTTCTCCTCCTGTCATGTTTCCCGCTATCATTTGCCTGTTTAAGTATGTAAGTGTGTTATCGCAGCAATTAGCCTTGATACATACATCCAACTGATAATAACATCTACACGTATGCAAAAACATGCATCAATTGATGACTTCCTGGTCTCCACCTGCACAAAGTTATCCTTGTGTTACGAGGGTAACATATTGTCGGACTTTTGTCAAATTCTGATGAAGATCAGAGATGATAAAAATTCCATTATGTTTAACATTCTTGAAGAAACATTACGAAATCATCTTCCATGTAAATAAATCCACGAATTACAGAAATATTTTTTTGTCACGTCACCATCCGTTGTATGTGCAATGGAATGATCAATAAGAAAGTAATTCACATTTAAAAAATCAAAACTTCCGCTATGACCACTTGTAATACACCAACACTGTATTAGGTTTATTAACGAAATTTTAGTAATCGATGAATTACAGTACGAATATCACTTTAAGACACTGCTTCGCAATGATGAAGTAAAACGTGTTTGCCAACAGATGCCCCTTATCCAGGATCAATATTTCCATCTGATCGTGAACCTGGTGGTCGGCTTACTATCCGAGCCACCGACATACCGTTGCTCAGCGTTGTACGCACTGTTTTTATTGATTTTCTCTTCGTATTAATTTTTGAATCACTTTTCCCCCCCGATTCCCTATAATACGAATTATAAGGCTGTATCTTACATTTCCATTTTATAATTTACTCAAAATGTTTCAAAATTGCAAATAAAAAATATAATAAATTTTTTACATTAACTGGTACAATATTTAAAAACGCAAGTTTATATTGAAAAATGTTTATTGATTTCTGAAAGCATTCTTCGCTATGCGCGCCAGAAATTTCTGTATTTTTCAGATATATGTATAAAAAGTCGTAAATATTATCAAAGTTATTATCATAGTAATTGCATTTCTGCAAATTTTTAACATACATATTCTTTATAATACACATTATCATTGATACAATCATGAAATTTTTCCTGCTGCATTCATAAAAACGCGATACTTTCAAAATCAAATCAGTGGTGTTATTAATATTTAGGAGTACTCAAATTTTCAGTCCTGAGTATCCGTCAGATTTTCGTATTTCGTCAGTAAAATTGAAGTTTACTATATTACAAACTAACTGAAGTAATTATGTACATTACTATAATTCATAATTAAACAGTATTTCATGACTATTATCAAGTGCTAATGCCGCTTTGGGTCCACGTTTTAAATACGATATTGTAGAATATGCAGAAAAGTGAAAATCTTCCTGCAAATAACCATTTACAAGTAAATGCCCTACTACAGCTTCACCCGATGGCCTTGGAAACTTTGGTATTGGCACAGAAGATACCCGTAATGTTGGTGCACCTTTACCGTACCAAGCATCTATGAGTTTTAAAGCAGTTAGTCTTGTTTCACTCTGCACTCCTTTAGTCAATATTTGGTACAAATGTCTACAATACGGTGCTATATTTACTTCTTTTTTCTGTTTAGGTTTTTTACAATGATCACACATTTCTCCACAATCACTTTTATTCCAAGTCTCTTCAAAGTGGGTTGCAATTATGCTACGTCTGCATGAAATTTGATCTAAACAGTATGCTAATACTTTGTATAAGTTTTGTAAACCAACTTTGTCTTGGAATACCATTGTGCTTAATTTGAATACATCGGGTAGCCTATATAATACAATACATACTGATTTCTTCCCATCTCTACCAGCACGTCCACTCTCTTGGTAAAAGTTCTCCATTGACTTAGAAATACAGTGATGAATAACAAATCGTACATCTGGTTTATCGATACCTAGTCCAAAGGCAATAGTAGCAACTACAATCTGGTATTTTCCAGATATCCATTTGGTATACACTTCTGATCTATAATTTGCCTCTAGCAGTGCATGATAACATCCAACATTTATGCTTAATGCTCTTAAATCAGTTGTCAATTGTTCTGCATCCTTAATGGTAGTTGTATAAATTATTCCAGACTTGTCTTTAAATCTGTTTTTTAATAAATTTTCTATCATATCTAGGCATATACTTTTTTCTGTTGGTTTACGACGAACTTCATAAAATAGATTGGGTCTGTTGAATGTGGCTCTTAAAACTAAACAACCTTGAATATCTAACATTTTTTGAACATCTACAATAATCTTAGCTGGAGCAGTGGCAGTTAACCCAAGAATTGGTATCCCTGGAAACATGGATTTCAAAATTCCTAAGAATTTATAGTCTGGTCTGAAATCATGTCCCCATTGACTGCAGCAATGAACTTCATCTATTGCAAAATGATCTAATCGTTTTAATTCAAAAGCTTTTTGCAACTTGCTCATGAAACGGTTAGACTTTGCCATATATTCTGGCGTAACATAAATTAGTTTGAGATCAGACTTCTTATCTACAAGTGCATTCATTATAACTTTTACATTTTCTTTATCACATTTTGCACTCAACATCATAGCTTTCACATTAATGTTTTGCAGTCCATGTAACTGATCCTCCATTAATGCTACTAATGGCGAAACTACTATTGTGATTCCCTTGCTTATAACAGCGGGTAACTGATAACATAAACTTTTACCACCTCCTGTAGGCATAACTAAAATAACATCTTCATTTGACATAACTGCATTCATAGTCGGTAATTGTAATTCTCTTAATTTTCCAATTTTAAAGACATCCTTCAAGGCCTTCCTAAGGTCCTTGGACCAACTAAAATCTTCTTTATTCCAATCCTTTCTTGAAACTGATAGACTCTTTTTTAAAAGAGCATTGTCCCGTAATTTTTCTTTGCGCTGTGTCAAAATCTTCTTACGATCATCAAGCTTCTGCATTTCATTCTCAATCTGTTTCAATTCATAATCAATAGCAGCAATCTCTTCTTCTTCAGTAGCTGAAAGCAAAATGAAACGAATATAACTATTTATCTACAATAATAAAAACTTTAAGTTTTCAGGTATAAGCTGTGTCCTTTTGGAAAAATTAGTGCAACATTTCTTCAGCAATGCAGGTATTTAGCTTTATTATATGGTAGTCCACTGATTAATTAAAATCTGTAATTGATATCTATTGAATTAGTCAGCTGCCACTGCTGCCAACTAATGACTATGATCAAGGTACACATTAATAATGAAATATTACATGATATTCAATAATATCAACATCATTCAATCCTTGATAATGTCAGTTACAAAGCTGAGGAAATATGTTTTCCCACAGGACATAGCTTACACCTGAAAGCCTCAATATTAACAACTGTATAATAACATATACAAAGATAATATTGAATATTTTAACATTGTAATAGTAAATATTGAATTAAAAATGTGATATTTGAAAGCTATAGTAGCATTAATAAATACATTGATTTGAAAATGATATATTAATAACGTATATAATAAAACAAACATGTTTATTTGTTGAAATTGTATATTTGTTTTAAATTCGGTAACAGACCTTTATATTCATTATCGCTTATTATTATATCTTTCGAACTGCTGGCAGACATCGTAAAAAAATTACAAAATTGTTACGTAGATCAACATTAAATTAAAAAATTGCTTAGTACATTAATAAATAAGTAGAAACGCCGACTATGTATAATGTATAAGATAACATGCATTCGTATGTCAACCATGTCAACAGCGATTGATACGGTGCTGCACGTAACCCAATGCTTGTGATTGTGACCAGTAGCATATATATATATACCAGTCTTACATCGTATGTACTCTGGCTGGAGATCAGATGAGAGTTGAGACGGTTGAGACCAGTTTTCCAAACAGTACTGAATAGGTATATACGCGTAAGTTATCAGGCAAGTAGCCTTTCGCCTGATGTTTAATATTCACTAATTACTTATATAAACTATATGAGATCAAATTAAGTTGCTTAAATTTAAATATATCAGTGAATATGTTAAATGCAATATTTCGTGCGAGTCCGTGGCTTGAAAATACATTAACATCTTTATACTTCAAGGGTATTCTGTTTTTTTATCATATTTTTTATCATGTTACCGTTACTTTAATTTTTGGTTTAGTATTGTCTGTCATTATATAAATTATATTTCTAAATATTTAAATTAAGTTGAAAAACTTTCGTGCTTTTCGTTAAGATTTTTTAAAGGGACTCACAACCAAAAAATGTCAAAAAATCATTTCTTTTTATTGTATGTAGATTCTGAATATAATACAACTTTCTACAAGTTGTGTTAAAATATAGTGCATTTTTGGGTACTAAGGTTTCTTTTAATAACAAAAATTTACATTTTGTCTAATAAATTCTTGTTTTATAGCAGAGTCATTTTGTTCCTGTTCTTGGAACGTAATGTTCTAATTTTCTTTTCCTAGTTACAAAGAAGTTCAGTCTGCTACATTTTTTCCCGTTCTGTTACACCGTGAAAACCTTTTTTTTTTAAATACTTTTTGATTTCATTATTATTCTAGGTTAAATTTTACCTTCTCGAACCAAAAATTAACTTTTTTTTATATCAAAATAGTAGTGCATTCGTCAAGTGGAATCTAAAAAATACAAGTTTTAAGTTTAGGAATCTACCAATTTATAAGTTATGCGTGTATAAAATCTTTAAGTAGTAGTAACTCAGAATCAGTCAGTTGCTTTGAATTTAACTTTTCTAACCCAGACCTATATATTATTTAATATAGGTAGGTAATCCCGGTAATCCCGGTAATCCGCGTGCATCTCTTTACAACCAGTGACTCCCGTGACTCCAATTATTGGACGAATTATGAATAGAAGCCAATATGGCGTTAAACTAACCTGTAAAGTACGCTAAAAATACTTATGTACTTACATAATTTTACATACGTATAACTTTTGAATCGATGGATTCCGAAACTTAAAACTTGTATTTCTAGATTCCACTCGTTGAATACTACTAGAAGATATAAAAAAAGTCAATAATTTTTGGTTCGGGAAAGTAAAGTCCAAACGTATTCTGTATAAACTATTGGTATAATACTATAATTATGCACTAAATATATATTACTTATAATGAATTAAAAAGAAGAAGTTCTATTCTGTATGTTAAAGTGTGAAGGGAAGATAAACTTGTCAAAACATGTAAACAAAAGATATGTTTTAAGTTGATGCATGTTAACAGTGTTATCCACCTTAAACCTAATATTATTAGTATATTCAATTAATATTACTAGTATGTTAACATGCATCAATTTAACGCATATCTTTTGTTTACGTGTTTCGACAAGTTTATCTGTCATCTTCCCTTCATACTTTGACATACAGAATAGAATTTTTTGCTTTTAGTATTTACTTTTAATTATAGTGAGTAATTATAAGCAATATATATTTAGTGTATTGAAAAATACAATTTTACAAGAGAACCGTTTTTCTGACAAACAACAATAATTCATCAGTGAACAAATGAATTATTGTTGTTTATCAGAAAAACGGTTCTCCTGTAAAATTGTATTTTTCATACATTTAAACCACTTTTTTAGAATCTAAAAAATCAAATATATAATCATATTCTTAGTAGTAATTATTAAGGAAGTAATGAATATATCAAATGAAGGACTTTGTAAAAGATCATGTAACCTTTTTTCTGAAAGAGTTGTTACACTGAATTTTGAGAAAATGGGTCATGAAGTTGTAGTTTTCTATGTGGATAGAACTAGGTTGCAAGTTCCCTCAACAGATTTTATTGATGTATTATAAGAACTATCTAGCAGTTTAAAATGAATATGTTTGCTTTTATTAGATAATTATAATAGCTTTGCAAGTAAGTTTAAATAGCTTTTCTAGTAAAAATAACAAATGATAGGTTCATATATATATTCAAAAATGTTAAGAGGATTCACCCAAAAAGGTCTAATGCCTGTTGTACTTTAAGAAACCTTTTTCAAAAGCTATGAATAAAATTGCATTTATTTCTTTTATTCTGTTATACATTTTTTTCACTGCAGTGACAAATTTTTTAGTGTAAACAAGAATTTTTAATGTAAAATATACAAATTACACTATTTAATGGAAGGGCTATGCAATATCTATTTCTGTATTAATAGATTTTTCTTAATTACATAAACCTTACTCTGTTCATCAAATCACCTATATAATTCCATTCACATTACACATAGACAATCAGAAGATCATTGTCATTTTATATTACCAATGTCTACTAGTACTCAGACGTGTCTCACTTGAGATGGCTGTATTTTTTTAACAATTTTCAAGAAGACTAAGAGCACATTTTTAAAATATTAAACATTAAAGGTACTGATCTGAATGAATTGACATCAGCAACATTATGTGTGGTCAATCCAAACATACTATTGTAACAAATTATATAGGAATTCAGTTATTATACTCTAATATGTATATTGTATAAGATAAACTTTGTAATTTATCTATTTTAGATATAAATATATTACTTCTATTTTTCCAGCAAAAAGTATTTCTACAAATGGTTTTTATGGGACACATTGTGTTTCTGCATTCATTCAACAACCCAACATGAAGGTACAAATATTACCTGCACTTCAAGACAACTATATGTATCTTGTGCGTATTTCTTTGCTTATTTTTACATTTCCGCGTTTTTATTCATATTTATTTATTTGTCTATATTTTATAATTCTGAAAGATTATTGATGAAGCAACACAAGAAGCTGCAATTGTGGATCCTGTAGATCCTGACAGTGTTGCTTCTGCTGTGCAGCAAAATAATGTAAAATTAACAAAAGTTTTAACGACCCATCACCATTGGGACCATGCTGGAGGAAATACAAAGTTATGTAAAAAATTTGCTAATTTGCAAGTATATGGTGGTGATGATAGAATAGAAGCACTTACAAATAAAGTAACACACGATGATAGATTCAATATTGGAGAGCTTAAAGTCCAATGCCTTGCAACACCATGTCATACTACAGGACATATTTGTTACTATATTACAGGAGATCAAGATCCTCCGGCAGTATTTACTGGTAAAGGCATAAATTACATATTCATTTAATTGTGAGCATTCTAACAAGTAACTGCTATTACTGAATAGGAGATACACTTTTTGCTGGTGGCTGTGGTAGGTTCTTTGAAGGTACTGCAGATCAAATGTATAAAGCGCTTATACAGGTTTTGGGATTGTTACCCAATGAAACAGTAAGCATACAATTATATTTATTTTTATATTTGAAATATTTTTATAAAAAACAAAAACATCTTGGATACACTTCACAGAAAGTATATTGCGGCCACGAGTATACAGAAAGTAACTTAAAATTTGGAAGGCATGTAGAGCCACTAAATGAAGCTATTCGTCAAAAGATTGAATCAGTTCGTATACAACGTGAAAAGTTACATCCTACTGTGCCCAGTACTATTCAGGAAGAAAAATTAACAAATCCGTTTATGCGGGTACACGAACAACCTGTAATGGACCATACTGAACAGAGAGATCCAATCCAGACCATGGCATTCCTTAGAAGGGAGAAAGATAATTTCAAAGCATAAGTTTATTATTGTTATAAAAAGGACAGTGGTATTTACACATTACTCTGTTTAACAATACAGAATATTCTTCCTAATAACACTTTGGTCCTTATCAAGTACAAGCATACATGAACAGATTTTTATTAATCTTATTTATAATATTTTATTTTGAACTGCTATACATAAATATTGGCATATGTGCAAATATTTGATTATAAATTATGTATTTACAAATAATATTTACTTAAATACAAATACTACGTTATATTTAAAGACATTTGATTTGGTGCATCTTCCGACTTTTTATTATAAATTTGCATTTCAGCAACATATTTCTCTTTGGATCGTTCATACATGTCATAATATACCTGAAAACAAATTCAGTGGTAAAATTACAAAAATTCGAATGGATACACAAATAACTGCTACTTTAACAAATACTTTTTTATCTTCTGAACTAAGAGATTTCCAAGTAGTTGCAAGTTGTCTAGTAAGTTCTTGTTTGCTTGGTTCTGGTTCACCAGCTAAACGTTCCATCACACGAGGTCTTTGTTCCTGGCAGAATTGGAAAAATGGATTCGCTGGCCTTTTTGGTGCATTAGGATCTGTTTTTGCACCTTTCCTTTTTGTTCCTTTCTTTGTCCTTTCATCTTTAGAATTCTGAACAGTCGCCTTTGAACCCTTCTCTTGTTTAGCCGGTGCCTGAAATACATTATTTTCTTCTAGGACTCCCATGGGTGCTTCTCGCCAGCGATCACCATGCTGATCCAAACGATTGATTAAAAATCTGTAATGTATGAAGTATTTCATTGAAGCAGATCATATAAAAACAATACCGTACAGTCATTCATTAAACAAATGAAAATTAATTTTGGTTGTCACAAATGTAACAAATAACACTACAATGGTATTTAATACATAACCTAGGAATCAAACTAACTTTTTTTCCTTTCTTGTGCGTTTAAGAAGTTTCCTGACTCTTTGAATTCGGTAAACCAATCTTTCATTTTCCTGCAATTGAATACAATTCAAGAAAACTCGAAAACATTGAGGAATTATGAGAAGTTTAGTTTATAAAAATTGTGTGTAAACCTGCTGCAGAACTTCACACCTATCTAGTAGCAATTGGTACTTTCGTTTATAAACATCAAACTCTTCTGGCTCTACGTCGTATTCTGATTCGTCTGACATTTTAATAATACGTTGTAATTAAAGTCAATTAATATTTTTCTACATTGTTTTCATACGATGTCAACAGTTTGCTCACGTTTATTTACTGTAATTGACTGTAATAGAACTTCAGTATCACAGATGTCGCTAGTAAATATGTACAGTTATTCAATTCCACTTTTTGCTAAGGAAAATTGATTAATTTTACATTTTTATAATAGTCACTAACACAAGTATAAGAAATATCATTTTTAATCGTATGTTATAAATAATTATGATGTTATACTGACCACTTTATCAATATATGATCATTCTTTTGATTATCTATAGATGCTTTGTGAACTTATACAAATGAAACATTTTCGTCAATATTTCTTTGTTGTTTATTGAAAGCCATTAAAGTTTCTACTGTTTTATAATTGCTTCAACTGAATGTGTTTTAACGCTATAATAATACTCTTTACATAATACCGTTAATAGCAATAAAAATTCTTTGCCGCTGTAGGTTTTTCGAAAAGTTTAAGACCGTACGTTTCTATTAACTTAATTTCCTTGCAACTTAATTCTCATTTAAAAACTTTTTTTTGTACGTCTTAAGCATAAAGGTAACTAGAATAAAATTTAATAGGTACATAATTAGTATTTATACGCATGAACTATTTAGTATGAGAACATAATCATCGTTTTTGTATAAGTATTGTTATCTAAAAAGTCTATTTATTCTTTCTGATAAATATTTTTCTAGTGATAGAAAATGCGATGAAGAGAAAAGTAAATCGACAACATTGGAAAATAATAAATTTATTGCAAGAATCCTTAACAAATCAATGTTTAATATACTATAGTAACAGAATATATACATACATATATTTTTACGGTTAACTTACTGTTTGTAGAAAATCCGCGTATTCTCTGTTACATTGTACTCATTTTTCTTGATATACCTATCTTTTAAACTTTCGTATGACCGCCATTACAACTGTATTAATGGGCTCGTCTTGTAAATAAATATTATGGTTTTTATCTTTTCCCCATTTGCGTCTCACTTCGTGGCCGTCCCTGTCTCTGAAAGCGACCAATGAAAGTCATGAAAGAAGGGTTGCGTTGATACACATGCGCAACTAATCAGAATTCACCCTGGACTTGAAACACGGTCAAAACACGTATCGGCACGTATCGGTCTCCTCGTTGCGTTATTACTTTCTTTTCCCACTTCTCGAAACCTTACGTTTTCCGTTCGCAGTGTCGGTCAACGTTCCCCTCGTGCCGGCGTACGTGTCGCTTCTTATATCGTGCCATTTATTCCTTCGTCTGTGATTACATATTTTTCAGTGACGTTACGTGTTCCTTTTTTTTGTTGCCGATTACTCGTACAAGTTATTGTTTCCCGCGCGTACCATGCAGTGCGTCGCCGTTTTTTAGCATTCGCTCCAGACTGGCAGGTCGATTCCCGGTGAGTAAGTGCACAGCAGCCATTTAATTCGCGAATATACTTGTTCGCGGTCAGATGAGACACGTTAAGCGAGATTTAATTGCGTGCGTAGGAACAGATAGGAAGGAGTTTTAACGCAGCACGCGCGTGCGAAAGAACCTGGTCGCGAGATCAATAGCAGCCATTGCGGTTATGGTAACACGATCAGCTGATCGACCGATGCTTTATTTTGTTTACAATGATTATTCACGGTGGAGTCCATCGTACTTTTCGAATGTAATGAGGCAAACTTCATCTCTACTTCACGACTCTCGTACATGGCTGAATGTGTAACGTCATCGTACATCGTTACTGAAAAAGCCATGTTATTTATAAGAAAATGTTTCTTCCCTACGTTTCTGTGTTGATGCACGATATCGTGATGTTATGATAAACGTAAATGTCCAGCACAGTGATTCTTTGAAAGTTATTAGAAAATGGACTATTTAGTGATGGATAAATCCCCATAAGTACATTACTGGTAAATTACATAAGTAATGAAATTTTAACATAACCAAAGTCATAAAATAAGATCACTCTATCGTAATCTAAATAAAGTATTATAACACAAAGAAAATATTAAAAAGAATTTTTTAAAGTGAAATTTTGGGTGCTTTTAAGTTGTTCTCTACTTTTAAGCATTAAAGTTATTATTATTGTGTATTTTATGTTGCAACTTCCATAGCAAACAATGGAAGGTACAATTTTCAATTTACTAATTAATACTACATAGTTATATTATTGATAAGTAGTACAGAAATTCAATCTCACTTATGCACAGATTTTTTATATTCTGTCTATAAAATATGTAAAATTATAAAAATTATAATTGTTTCATTGTCTTTAAAAAATCTAGAACAAGGTGACTCTAATGCCGATGAAATTAATAAATTCTTGGCCAAGATTGTTTTTTATGCAACACATCATTTGTTACTGAGAAGTCTGAACATTTTTTAAATTTTGTTACTAAATTTAACCCGTTATATAAAATCTCTACAAGAAAAAGTTTCTCAACAAGCATACTTGATGCTGGTTACAAAGAATTTGAACAATCAATTGCTGGTATTGAATCAAAGGTGCCATTCTTTTATTGGGCGGATGGAAAAACTGAACAGCAATCACTAAAAATGTTGTAGCATTGTTACGTTTAGGTAATCAAAGATATATTTTCTTAAGTCATGGTGCTTCTGTATTCTGAGTGAAACTGCACAGGCCTTAAGTGATGTGGTAAATGAATGTATTATTATTTCAAGAGAAAGGTATAATTTACATATTTATGGAGTAATTGTAATCGCAGATAATGCTGCTAATATGATTTGTATGGTAAAATTAGTAGATAGTATATGGCATGTGACTTGTAACAGTCATACTGCAATAGTAAAAAATCTCAGTCACGTTTGAGAAATACCACCACCATACGGCCATCTATCATTTGCATAGGTAAATTACAGTATGATTCGGATCACTGTAATATACATGTATGTTGTATTATACTATGTGTATTTTACATACCCATCACTGGGATGGACAGAGGTAGTCAGGTTAGAAAATTTAATAAGAAGATTTTTCTGTTGGCATGACATTTAAAGGCTGTTGGATACTGCTCCAACCTAGTAAATATTTTTATACTTACCGTTTAGTTAAGATAAGTAGACCTAAATTTCCTTCTACTTCCGTACAAAATAACACATACAATCCTTGAATCTCACTCATTAACCCCAGTCATACCCTTTAGTTCCCGATCGTTCGTTCAGTTTCGCGAACGCATAAAACATTGTTCATGATATGGGTGCATTTTGTCCGGCCAACTTTCAAGCCTTACAAAACTTGGGGCTCTTTTCCTATATCTTGCATAAGAACAAGAAAATTAGACGTGACTGACAGGGGAACGTTATATTCGGCGAAGAAAGCCGAATGTTTGATCTCAGCGATTTGTATTTCCTCATCAAGAGAAAACGAAGGAATCCGGCTCCTGATCGCATCCCCCGGTTTCTAAATCCACCGATACAGGCTCTTCTACGGTTATAGTCCGGGAGCCAGCGACACATTTTCATGTCTCATTTGCTCAAAGATGATTTATGTTTTATTCGACAGTATTTGTGTTACACATTCAGGAAACGACCTCCTGCCAGCGCACCAGCTGAACAACGCTTGCCAGCAGCGTGTCATCAACTATGTAAAAAAATCTCGCGGAAAACCTTATTGGCTCAAACTTGAGCAATTTTCCACTAATTACTGACACCATAACACGACGAAAAATGACCTCCTGCCACGTTAATGGTAGAACTGCATGCTCTGGCACTCGAAGCTCGAAGCCTCGACGTCCTTTATATTTCATTAGTGATTCATCGATAGCAATGTCCTCTTGCATTGTATACACTTCTTTAAATCTTTGATTAAACAAATTTGTGACAGGTCTTATTTTGCGTAATTTATCTGTATTGTCGACCGTATTGTTATTTGCGAAATGCAAAAATCTAGTTATTTACAGAAATCTTTTCAATGGCATTGTTTTTCTGAATATTGGCGTTTCTATAACGGCCCTCTTAGACCAATTCATTTGAATTGTTGGTTTTTTAACTTGAGCCATTATTATACATAATGGAAAATATATTTTTATTTCACCACAATCTACAGGAAACCAAGTTTCATCTATTTTTCGTCTTTTATTTTTATTTTTTATTATTTGTTCTGCGTACCGATTTGTCTCCGTTACAATATTTTCCCAAAACATATTATCAAATATTATATTAAAGATGTCTATTTCTTTTTTGTTTGCACCTAACTGATATAAAGTTGTCTCTTTAATGCCTGTAGTCTCCGTATAATTCCAGATTTTTTTTTTATTATTTTTTTCTTTCCAAATCCATTGTTCTGGTTCTTCAATAACCAGTCGCTTACAACGTTTTCGTACAGGTGATAAGATATCACTACTGTCACTATCACTATTAAAAATATCTATCAAATCATTCTGTGCAATGCTAGCACAATTCTCACTGTCATCATCAATGCTAAATTTTCTTTCTAAAGGCATTATTATTAAGGGTATTTTTCTAATATGTTTAAGAAATATATTTGAATGTGCAAATGCGGCCAAGAAGAAGACGTAACTGATTGTGAGAGAAAAAGACATCGGCAACCGTGATTCTCATGTTTGGCCCGATATATTGTACATAACACGGCTCTCATACACGATATTGTAGGCGAAAGGGTTAAGGTATGATTGACCCTCCAGTTGATCGATTGAACACTCTCACTGACGTTCACTGATTGAAGTAACTGAATTTCGGCGAAAGTATCCTTTAGCGAGTCGGTTTAAAATAAATTAGTACGATGCGTTTATCGCAAAATTTCGGAATCTCATGATGTGGAAATAATAAATCTAATTCATACATCGGCTTGATGCGAACAGTATAAATTAGAGCTTCGAGTTTGCATATACGGAGAGACTAACAAAAGTTCGCTTAGTCGCCACAGTGGTCCAGAACGCCGATTTAGCAGTTCAGAAGCTTAAATTGGGTGTAAGAATGGGAATATCAAAACCACACTTGGTAAGCATGTATTTAATGTTCCTCTTTCTTAAAAAAATAAAAACTTAAGTAATGTTTGTTAATAATAACTTTTTTATAA